TGGAATTAAAGGAACAGCACTAGACTGGTTTAAATCTTATCTATGTGATCGAATTCAGTTTGTTCATGTCCTGTTTTCCAGTGTAGTCCTGTTCCTCTGACTGTGACTGACTGGATCTGCCCTCATCATCCTCTGGCATGGGAGCTGGCTCGGAGCTCGTCTGCCTGGCTGTGTGTTTCCTGGACGGGTCCGCCTTTTACAGCTGCTTTTTGTGTCTCTGCTTCTGTCTCCTTGACTGGGGTTCAAGGAGACAGAAGCAGACATAGAAATAGAAGCATAGATACAAACAGCAACTGTAAACCATTTTACAGTTGCTGCAACAAGACAGATTTTTTTCATTCTTCTTTGCACCGTTGTGATCGGTTCTATACCGGTCTCCTCTCATCCTCCCCCTCTGTCTATTGCCATCCTCCAAGTCTAACAAATAAACACATTAGCATCTATAATGTGATGTCCGCTTCATGCGTCTGTAGGATCTGTCTGGCACATTTATGATGTGCAGTGCGGCATTTTCCATCACACCTTAAACCCTTCTGTTATTTGGTGTGTTAACTAATCAGAACCAAATTTATTGGAGTTTCTGAGCAGCTTCTAACCGCTCAGGGACAATCAAGCTAAACTTACAAGTCACTGATTTTCACATTATTCGCATTAAACCTCATATTGAAATACTTACTCTTCAGACATGTTTCTCAGTTTGTGTTCCTCTGACGAAGGTTCTTGTCTTTGTGGTTGTTGGTTGAATTAGTTTTCCTTTAAAGAGGAAATAATTGACAGTCAGTTTTCCTCTCATATGAAACATAAATCCATGGCAGAAAGAACACAACACTGAAATATCTCATTAGTTATTATATTAAGACGACATATGGGGGCTTTTTAAAGCTGGAAGAGGCAGGAAAGAGAAAACTGAAACAGGTTTTTCACTTTCTTTCTGAACTAGAAAAACCAACTAGAAGAGCTATAAACTGGCACTTTAAACAGGATAGAAAAAGATAAGTGATTAGATGTTTTGTGTTATTGTGGGAATCAGGCGCTTATTCTACAATTATATAAAGGCTAATACTGCGATCAGGTTGTTAATGAGGCTAGAATATGACATCTGTGTAATATATGTACTTCAGTTCTACATTTCAGGAGGTATTTTATTCCTATAAACTCCTTAATTACTGAGCTAAATATTTATGGGGACAAGATTGTGATTCTTGTTTGGAATTAAGATTAAATTATTACATGGGTCAACAGGAATGCTATGTTAAAGACTAACATAGTGAATCTAAAATCAAAACCGTGGATAATAACCTTCCTTTTATGTTTTTTCTACAGCTGTTGCACCTAAAAATATTCACCTGCTGCTCTGGATGAAGTTTACTATCATATATTGAGAAGAATTTTCTAAAGATTAAAAATAAAGGCAACTTTTAAAGAACTCTGCTGGATGAAAATATCCAACACCTCCATTTAATTCTTCTTAAAGGTAGACTATGCAACCGGTGTTGATTTTCCAGCGAGGCTCCCCCCA